AATTGTTTATCTTCACTTGTTGAAATTTGTAGCAATTTACAAGTTGAAGTTAAGTCGAGATTATTGTTTATCTTCACTTGTTGAAATTTGTAGCAATTTACAAGTTAAGTTGAACCGAAATTATTACTTAACACTTATTGAAATTTGCAGACAATTTACAAGTTGAAGTCAAGCCGAAGTCATTGTTCAACACTTGTTGAAATTTGCGGACAATTTACAAGTTGAAGTCAAGCCGAAGTCATTGTTCAACACTTGTTGAAATTTGTGGACAATTTACAAGTTAAGTTAAACCAGTATGATGTTCAACACTTGTTAAAAGTTTACAAGAAGTTTTTCTATCCGAGGTGTGTCACCCCGAGAAGATTGTACAAATAAGGAAAAGTGTGTGAAAGACATGCAGAATGTTCTAAGTATAGAATCATGCAGAAGCAATGAAGAGAAGACAAGAGTATAAGCACTTAGAAAAGAAAAGTTGCATTAGCATTCATCAAGAAAATGGCACATCAGCCATACAAAGGGCTTATATTGTTCCAAAAGATAAAGATGAAACAAAATACAACTAAGCAAAAGAAGAGCATGAAGCTAAGACTCCTCTCCACCAGTTGATTGAATTTGAAGATCAGATGATTGTTGAGAAGACATCTCAACAGCCTTATCCGCCGCGACCTTGGCGTCAATTTCTGCAAGAATGTCATCAAGGTTCTTATTAGCAAGGATGACATCGACTGATTCCTTCTCATCAGCAGCATCTTTGTTAACCTCATCGCCTTCTTCATCTTGAGTCAAGTCTAGGACTTGCTCATTTTGAAGAGTGGACTTGGCCCCATCAACATCTTTGGATTTTCTTAGCAAAGCTTCATCCTCTTCCTCATCACCATCCTCGGACTCAGATTCGCCGACGTCTTGACTTGGAGGTTAAGCGGGAGGGAATGGAAGAGGAATGGTATCAGCTTTCCTCAATAGTGAGTCCTCTGGGACATTGAGTTTCTTTAGAAGGGACATCCAACCAAGGGTGAAACCCTTGTTGTATGCCTCCTTCACCTGCTATTCGTAGGCATCTGTGACGTCGGCCATGCCTTGGGCATACGTCTTCTCGTCGGCATCTTTTATTTCGACTTCTTTGGTGGCCAGTGCCTCATGAAGCTCCTTTTTGGCTTGAACCATTTTCTTCTCGGCTTCTCTCTTCTGAGACTCAGCCACTTTCTTAATAGCCTCAACAGCCTCAGCCTTCTCTTCGGCATTGGTCTGAGCCTTGATTGCAGCCTCGGCTTGGTCCTCCAATTTTTTCATCTTTAATTGAAGACCTTTGTTGGTCTTCTGGAGGGAAGAGAACTCCTTCTTCATCTCAACTAGCTTCTGTCGATTTTCGAAAGACTGAACAGAAAAAGAGTGGGCATGCTAGATGGCCTGAAGAAAACACAAGGTAAAAGTTATTGCAAAAATTTCTAAGTATGAAAAAGAAAAGAAAAAAGTGCCAAATAAAAGACACTTACTTGAACGGAGCGTTGAAGCATTAACGCATAATTTTTATATTCGCTCTACTCGGCGTTTCGTTCCAAGTCGCCTGGTAGCAGCAGAGCAGTGCTAAGCGCAACGCCGACATTAATATCCTCGGCACTATCGTTCGCAATGACTGGCTTATCCTCCAAAGTAATTTCGGGTGCCTAGGGGGCAGCAGGCTTCTTAGACCCCGAAATTGTAGCGGAGGATGACTTCGACTTTTTGGATTTTGAGGATTCTGATGGTTGGGCTTCAGAGCGCCTTTACCCAGCAGAAGGTTGAGAATTGTCACTCTCAACCAACTTAGAGATTGGTAGAGCATCCTCAGACTCAACTTGAGTAACTTTAGCTTTTGGCTGAGCTTTTTTTGCTCTTTTCGGCTTCGGTAGAAGAAGGGTTTGTGCTGGTTGATCGTCAACAGATGAAGGAATGCTGGCCAGAAGATCTTTTGCAACTAGTTTTGCGCGATCTATCTCGGCAGTAGGAACTGTTCGGCGTCGGCGTCGGCACTGTGAAATTGGAACCAAGTATGGAGCTGAAGTTGACGGTTGCTCAGCTGGATCAGAAGTTGACCCCTGATCTGTCCGAGATGTGGATGCGGTCTGTGGAGTTGTGGCAGAAGGTGGAGAGAGGCTTTTCTTCTTCCTCTTAGGGACGTCGGGCAAGGCTGACTTATAAGTTGGGATAAAGTTGAGGAGCAGAGGCGCCTTTCGTTTATGAATTGACAAGTTCAAAAAAATTTTCAAATCTTTGCTGGGATAGAAAGATTGGCGAAAATTCTTTGGTGGCTGAGGAAGAACTGCAAAGATAAAAAAAGTACAGACATTAGAACAAGAGTATTGAATAATTTATGCAAGAAGATAAAAAGAAACTTATGAAGGGTGGCCCTTACCAGCTCCTTCCCTCAAAACAGTTCGGCTTAAAGGATAAAGATGTAGGTCGTCGTTTGGCTGAAACTTCTAATTGCCTGAGACAATGAAGTAATCATCTCTAACTCCCTTGTTGGAGTCTGGGAGGTCGGCTACAATTTTATATTCGGTGGATCTCGGCTTAAGATAATAGACATAGTCCGTGTCTTTTCTAAGACGACACATGGTGTAACAGTACTGGAAATCGGCAAGTGTAATTCTGGCATTCTCTTGTTTAACTAAGGCTATGGTGCCAGTGATAACTCGGTAAGAATTGATGGCAAGTTGCATTGGGTTTAACTTATAGAAGTGAAGGATTTGACGAAAAAAGGGGTCAAGTGGAAATCGGAGTCCACTCTCGATAAAGGTAACCACAGGGAAGGGCATGGAGTTTTCTGTAGGCATGATGGAGTCATCATCCCCAACCAACTTCAGATTGACATCGGCTGCGCTTTTAAACTCTTGCCTAAAAAATTCTAGCTTAGAGGGGATGTTTACCCGATGTTCCCACATACCCATGATGTTAGGATAACTAAAGGTATTGGGTTTCAATAAGAAGATCGTTCAAATAGGGTTATTGGGACCTCAGCAAAAAACCTAGGTTTTAGTTGGTGTAGAGATTTGTAAGGGATGTTTCAGTTTTGCCCTAAAATATGGGTTCTACAATCAAATCCCAAACCTAAAACTATGGAGATGAAGATCAAAGTCATAGATCTAGAAAAGACACAAAAAACAGAAAACAAAAACGGAGTTTCAGAATTAAGAACAGAGATGGACTATCAAGAACATGAAGAATACAAAGGGTTGAAGGCCAAGAACAGTGGCAAGACGTGCAAGAAAACTATGAACAGTACATGTATTCAAGGCATAAGCAAAAAGCGAAATCAACGCATTCAAATGTATGATTCACAAATTAATTGTTCGAGCAAGGCTACTAGTAAACAAGAAATTCCGGAAAAAACTCAAGAAACTGGAATAAGAAGAAATAGATTGCTTACTAGAAAATATGAAGCCGATGTAAAGATCGCCGAAATCAGTTGACGGTCGTGAAGGCAACGAAATGGTGCAAAACACGCCGGAAGGGGTGAACGGAATAAGTTTCAGAGCAAAAAAGCTTGAACAATGGCAGACTCAAAAAGAGAAAAGGTAGAGAAAGAAAAAGTTTTTCCAGAAATAAGAATAAGGTGAAAGGGAGAAATCGAAGAAAATGTTTTGTTAAAAATGAAAATGGCGGCAAAAAGTAATCAATACACCTAGAAGATCGTATACGTCAGACAGCGCACGTGAGAGAGAGACGGCTTACGGGCGCGTCACAGGTACAAACTAGTAAGAAAGAAACGCGTGGCTAAAAACGATTGAATTATGGTGTATGACAGCTCATACGCGTGAAAGGATTCATGAAGTTCTTGTTCTTCAGCAAAGACATGTCGGCCGAAATAATGATCTCGGCTGAGATACTGAAGACTGACGTACTGAGAAAACGGAATGATATAGGTTCCATTACCTCAGAATACTGAGATAATAGAACCTAGGGGGCAGTTGTGGGGATATATTTTTGAGTACCGACACGTGGCAAGGTGACGCCGACGTGTTAGCCGAGGTGCCACGTGTCAAGGTCATGAAGCCGAGGTGATCTCGGGTAAGCCGAGGTTATCTCCAAAGATATCGGAATCCGAGATAATCGGATAAAGGATAAGGGACAAGAGTCCTAAAATAAAGAGGAGACTTAGCCAAGATAAGGATAAAACTCTTAGAGAGTTTATCTTTATCTCTTGAGGAGTCCAAAGTAAGTACTGAATAGGAATCCATAGAAGTCAGGCTTCTAAATGGGATTTGGATGGAGGTAACTATAAAAGAGAGGCACCCCGTGGGTCTAAGGTACGCAATTTTATGCTTTGAACAGTGAGTTTAGCACTTGATTATCTTTGAGATATATACTGACTTGATCGTCGGAGTGCCCCTGGATGGAAGAACCACCGCCGGAGCCTTTTCTTTCTATTACAGGTTAACTGAAGTCATCTATTCTACTGGTGCTCTCTAGCTGATTACTAAACGGGTAGTGTGATCAGAAAATCACTCACACATAATGAATAATTCTATGTATCATATTTTATTTATCTCGAATGAGATTATGTGATTGAAATTAAATTTATATAATGTAGGATTCATATGTAAAATAAATTTAAATTATAAAATAATAATTATAGATAATTTTTGAATAATTAAATCCAAATTTATAATATTACTGTATATATGATAGGTCCCTTCATGGAAAGAAATGGTAAGAAAATAACTAAAATAAATATTGTATCACACACTTATGTGAATTAGGATATAAAATAGTGAGAGAAAAAAAAAACATTTGAAAATATTCTTATCTATTTTCATACACTTCTACACGTACATGAGCAGTCATTAGCATTTCGTGAGTATTTAAATCAATAAAGTATTAAAGACTTCTGTTGAATTCATATATATAATAAATTAATATGCACTCATGAGCTGAATAGAACAGTCAAAGGGCAATTTCGTAAACTTATAGAGGAACTAAAGGCACCCCATTCAATCTGATCATTATATAAAGGTCACATATGTATCAGTTTTTTCACAACACTTTTCATTATCTTCTGGTTTTTGTTTTTTTGTTCGAGACTTTCAAACACTTCCGTTCCACACTTCATGGGGGTGCAACAGAGAACCTCCCAATCTCTGGCGACTCCGCCGCCGCAAATGGACCCCAAAATCTGGTCTCACCTGCCGGACCACCTCCTCGATCACGTCCTCTCATTCCTTCCATTGAAAACCTTCTTCAATCTCCGATCAACCTGTAAACACTTCAAATCTCTCATCTTCTCTCCTTCTTTCATCTCCAAACACTCTTCATCTTCACCACTCTCTTCTTATATCCTCTTCTCACACCCACAGTTCCATCACCTCTACCCTCTCTTCGACACCACTCTCAACACCTGGCGCAAGACATCACTTTCTCTCTCCTCCCCCATGCTAACCTGCTCCCCCTCCTCCAAAGCAGTGCTCCTCTCTGTCTCCCATGGCTTCCTATGTTTCTCTCTCCCAAACTCCTCCACTTTCCTTGTCTACAATATCTTGTCAAGATCTTCGAAAACTCTCCACTTCCCAACATTCCCATTCGCCTTCGAGCTTCTCACTTTAGTTTCTTCGCCAAATGGGTCGTTCAAACTCTTCATGATCTGCTCTTGTTCTTCCGGACCATCGAGCAATACTTTTGTCTACGACTCTGTGATTAATCTCTGGAGCCAATTCGACAGTGTCGACTCTGTTATCGGCGACAATCATCAAGAAGCCGTGTCATGTGATGGGATATTATATTTCACCACCCCAGAGCCATTTTCCATTCTCTGCTTCGATTTGGAAAACGGGAAGTGGGAGAGACCGGCGATTGAAATGCCGGGTGAACTGACTTTTGCTCGGTTGGTGAGCGATGGGGTTGAGAAGATGTTCTTGGTTGGGGGAATTGGGGAAGATGGGATTTCGAGAGGAATGAAAGTGTGGGAGTTGAGTGGAGATGGAGGGAATTGGGTGGAGATTGGGAGTGTCCCGGGAATGATTTGCAGGAAATTCATGTCAGTTTGTTACCATAATTACGAGCAAGTGTATTGTTTTTGGCATCAGGGTTTGATCTGTGTGTGCTGCTACAATTGGCCCGAGATTTTGTATTACAAGGTTTCAAGGAGGACTTGGCATTGGCTTCCTAAATGTCCTTCTGTGACTGATAAATGGAGATGTGGTTTCAGGTGGTTCTCTCTTGTTCCTGAGCTCTATCCTTCTGTTTGACAAGCAACTATTGGTATAATAGCGGTATCACCATCCCATAAGAAATCTTGCCTTCCGATCTGAAATTATATTATTGAATTATGTAAGAGACTAAAGATATCGGCCTAATTTCATTTGTGGTTTTTCTTGAAACAATTTTTTTTTTTTTTGGGCAAATTGTCGCTTGAGAAAGAGGGACCGGATGTCGATACTATGTAATGACGTGTACGAGTTCTATTCAACTAAGTTCGTCTTAGTTGATTTTCTTAAATCGATATTGCTATTACTTATCAGTTCTACTGTAGATTCAAGCCTGTGAACTGGACTTTTCTTCATATTATTGATTTACTTTTCTTTTCTTTTTTCTTTCTGGATTAGCAAAATTCAGTCTTCAAATTCTGTTTTGTATTGATAATAATAACTCGCGGGCACGAGGGGAAGGACTAGAGGGCTGTGGTTTATAAAAATCAACTAATCTTGTACTCGTTTGATTTTTGTTCCTAAATTGTGCAGGAATGGCCCCACCAAGGCTCACCTATTAGAAGCATCTTAACACATAAAAATTAAAAGTAATGATATATAAATCAATTTTTGTATAAATTTTTCATATGAAATAATATGATTTATTGTAGTTCTTTCGTTTTTGTTAAATATAATAATGGACAAATTATACTAACAGTCCTATAGTTTGAGACTCGTGTCACTTTGTTCTCTGACTTTTCAATTGTGACACATTTGACCTTGAATTTTGAATTTTGTTCCAAATAAAGAAAATTGAAGATATAATTATTTAATTTCAAGGGCAAAATCGTCAATTTAATAAAATATAAAATAATTTGACAAAAATAAATGTCAAAAAATATTTTTAATTTTTAAAAAATTATTTTTATCCACCAATGATAAAATTATGTAAAATTGATAAAAATTAATAAAAATTACATGATTAATTTTTAAAAATTAATTTTACATGATCATTATCCAAACACATAATAAAAATTAATTTAATAAAAAAATAAATAAATGTCTAAAAGATTTATCAATTTTACATAATTTTATTTTTAGTGGGTAGAAATAATTTTTAAAAATTCAAAAATATATGTTTGACATTTATTTTTGTCAAATTAGTTTATATTTTATCAAATTGATGATTTTACCCTTGAAAAATCTAATGATATTTTCAATTGTCCTTATTTGGAACAAGATTCAAAATTCAGTGTTAAATGTGTCACAATTAAAAAGTCAGGGACCAAAGTGATACAAGCCCCAAACTATAGGGACTATTAGTGTAATTCACCCTATAATAATTATATATGTTGTTTATCATAGATATCATATTATATTTATTATCATACTTAGGTTTCTCTTCTCTTGTATAAAGGAATCTTATATACATTGTTACAACATTCAATATAACACAAATTTCTCTCTCTCTTAGATATTGTAACATGGCATTAGAGTTATAGGTTAAACTCTTGGTATTCTTTACCTTACCGGCAGGAGGCAACCTTGCTTTGGCAGCCTATTGGATTTTAAACCATTCTGCTATCATATTTTTCTTTCAGTATTGCTTCGTGGTGATCTCTTCCTCTGTTCGCTAATTTATTCTTACCTCAAATATCTCTATCATATATTTTTTTTTTCTCGCAATCCTTTTTTTTTGTGTGTGTGTGCGCGCGCGCGCGCACACACGCGTGTTTCTGTTTTATTTTGCCTTTCCCTCTGCTTCAACCCCAAATAGGTTTTTATCGTCAAACTTATTTAAGTTTGAGGGAGGTATTATATCTATATCATAGTGAGTTTGGTTATACACCATGCAAGCCACCCAAGTCGCTCCCTTTGGCGCACTACCTAAGTCATCCTCCTTGACGCATCACCCAAGCCGCCCTTCTTGGCACACCACCTAAATCGCCTGTTTTGGTGTGCAATCCAAGCTGCCCTCTTGGCACACCATTTAAGCCGCTTCTTCTGGCGCACAACTTAAGCCGCTGTCTTTGGCGTATCATCCAAGCCGCCCTTTGGCGCATCACCAAAGTTGCCCTTTCTGGCACACCACCCGAGTCGCCCCCTAGCGCACAATGTCATCTGTTGCCATTATCGTTCAACACCACATCATAAGTTACATGTGTCGCATTTGTTGGTTCAGCATCTAGTTCTTCTATAACGGACCAGCACGATCTTAAACTGTCTTGACATTAGTTCCGATCAGTTCCTACAATAGTCCAACACAATCATAAATGGCATTGGCTTCCTAATTGTCCTTTGACTGACAAATAGAGCTGTGGTTTCAGGTGGTTCTCTCTTTTTCCTGAGCTCTATGCTTCTATTTGACAAGCAACTATTGGTATAGTAGCGGTATCATCATCCAATGAGAAATCTAAGGAATAAAAAATCTCGCATTCCGATTATGAAACTATATTATTGAATTATGTAAGAGACAAAAGATATCTGCTTAATTTCATTTGTGGTTTTTCTTGAATCCATTTCTTTTTTTGAAAATTGTCACTTGAGAAAGAGAGCGGTTGTCAAACCTATCTATGTAGTGGGGTGTAAGAGTTCTATTCAACTAAGTTCGTCTTAGTCGATTTTCTTAAATCGATATTGATGCTATCACTTGTCAGTTCTACTGTAAATTCAAGCTTGTGAGCAGGGCTTGTCTTCTTATTGTTGATTTAGCCTCCGTTTGGGAAGTGGGTTGGCTTTTTAGCTTTTTGGCTTTTTGGCTATTTTAGCCTGGTTTGGGAAGGGTTTTTTTGCTTTTTGGCTTTTTTGACTTTTTTTGTGAGAGAGGATTGTAATGATTATGGGTTGGATTTGATGTTTTGTTTTTTGTGGCTAAAATAGCCTATTTTATTTTTTGTGGCTATTTTAGCCAAAAAAGCCTGGGCTTTTTCTTGCCAAACGGAGGCTTACTTTTCTTTTTTTCTTTTTGGATTAGCAAAATTTAGTCTTCAAATTCTGTTTTGTATTGATAATAACTCGCAGGCACAAGGGGAAGAACTAGAGGGCTGTGGTCCCTGCAAAATTTATAAAAACTCAACTAATTAATGTTGTACTGGTTTGATTTTTGTTTGTAAATTGTGAAGGAATGGCCCCTCCAAGGCTCACCTATTAGAAGAATCTTAACACATTAAAAATTAAAAGTACTGATATATAAATCAAATTTTGAGTAAAATTTTCATATAAAATAATATAATTTATTGTAGTTCCTTTGTTTCAAATTTTATAATTTAAAAAATATTATTAATACATCATAAAAGTCATAATTGTTAAAAAGTTAATTCAAAATTTGACGAATTAGTAGAATTAGTCATATCGTTTTCATAAAAGAGTTTACCAAAGTGAAAATAAGTCCAATTAGTTTAAAAAACTACTTTTTTGTCGGTGGGAATGTTAATTTTATTTTTAAATTTCTTTAGCTTAAAACAAACTTTTATTTTTTAAAACTTATTTAATAAATAAAAAATAGTAAAAGAAAAAAAAGCTTCCTGACACATGTCGCTTTGTTTTGGAAAATAAGTTAAAAGTTAATTTTTTTGATTTAAAAAAAAGAAAGTGTAAAAAAATATAAAAAATTATATAATCAAAAAAAATTAAAAAGTTAAAAAATTAACTATTAATCCAATTATCAAATTAGGCTGTTAAACCGGCTTTTGTCTAACAAAATTCTCTCTCCACAACAAAGTTTTGTCCTTTTCTCTTGCAAAATGAATTTTTATAAAGACATCAAGTAAGACTTTTGAAAAACATTGATGATTACATTACTTTGACCCTCTGGAAGAGGAGTTTCTGTATCACTTGAATAATGAAGAATTGAAGTCTTTTATGGAGTTTTTGTCTAGATTTTTGTTTGTTTTTGAAAGGTCTATTTATATGACCTCATTATATTGACATGTATCTGATTATCTGTTAATATAAACTTTAGCTCTCGTACAACATATTACAAATTAAATTATTGACTTGGATATTTGAAAAGTTGTGGAAATTATAAAACCCAGTCCAGTTTCCCTGACCCGGCCCAAGATCAGTGGTACTCTTCCTCTCCAAAAGCTAAAGATCTTGTGTTTTTTTGTTTTATTTTAAGGGCCTTTTTCAAGTACTGGTGTGTGGTTTGATTTTTTTTTTTTGGGAGACTGACCCAAAGGTCCAAGCCCAACATATCATACCCCATTTAGACCCAAAACAAATTTAATACTCCATTGAGTCCTCAAATTAACAATAAGACGAAAATACCTACAATATATCATCCAATTTACACGCGCGCAACCATCTCCCACGTCCCCATCATCTCAGTCCGATCACTACACTGTCACGTCTCCGCCGCTCGAAATCGACTCCTCAGTCCTCCATCTCTCTTCCGTTCAACTCCATCCCCTCTGAAACCCTAACTCTAACCAGAAAACGTAACCGTTCATCTTCATCACCCACAATCATCTCAGTCTGATCAGTACACTGTTACATAACCACCGCTCGAAATCGCATTCTCAATCCTCCATCTCTCCTCCGTTCGACTCCATTCCCTCTGAAACCCTACCCTAACCACAAAACCAAACCGTTCAACTTCAACACAACACCAATAAGTATTTGGTTGTGTTTTTTTTTTTTTTTTTTTTTTTTTTTTTTAAAATTAGACAGTATTTTTGTGTGTTCATCTTTTGTGAGGTTTTTTTGAAGTAGTCTAGTAGGGGTGTAAAAATGATACATTTTTATAATTAAATGAGTAAATTATAAAAATTCATAGATAATGAGTATAAAATGATATTGGCTAATACTTGAGAAAGTCTTAAATAACCCTTATAAAAAAATAGAACATGCTTGTCAATATAATTAGAATTGTATAAAATACCGTTTAATCTTCTAAGTGCTTTTGTTAAGGGTGTATTAAATAATCTTGACCACCTCCATTATCATAGAAAATAGGAAAAGCTATAAATATATTTTTCTAGAGACTAAAATACCCTTTTTTTCAATTCACTCTATTTGAACATTATATACTTTTCATAATGGATTTTTTTTTTCTAAAATATTTTTTTTATCATGAAACTAAATGCATTCATTTTAGATGAAATTTCATTTTTTTAAAAATTTTTAGGGTAAATTACAAACACATCCCTTTAGGTTTACTTAAATTACAAACTACCCCTGTAGTTTTAAAAATTACATTATGCCCCCTAAGTTTCTAATTTCATAACAAATAGGTCTTTTTATTAAATTATCAAGTTAATTAACAGTTTTTAGTAATGTTGAAATTTTATTTCAATTAATAATTCAGATAATTTTATTATTGTATAGGTGAATAGTTAGAA